CATAAAATCGACTTGTTTGCTTCCAGCTGCGCCCAAGTCATTAATTGAATGCAACGGACTGCTTCTTTTCGAACATAACCAACAGCTAGAACTAGAGCTTTACATCGGCCTCACACACATCACCGTCAAACGACTTCTTCCGAATGTCGACCGACAGTGAAAACAAAGCCAAGCTGACAAGTCAAATGACTGGCAAGTTTGAAGGAATAACGAAGGTAACGTGACAGGTAACTCAGACGTTCTAACGGTAGCTACCACGAAAAACAGCTGCACAGTTCGGCCGGTAAATATTACGTTCAGAATTTAAACCTCGCTACTGCAAAGCTGCCATTCTTTGTTATAGTTAATAATTAAGCCAGAACATCGCGGTTATGCTTTGTCTTATTTTGCCCATATGTTTCATAACGGAAGGTAGCAAATTTTGTTGCTGCCCTTTCCGGTTCAATTCAGAGACAAAATTTTGCTTCCAATGCCTCGCAGATGCGTAAACACCATGGAGCCATGGCCAGCCCAAAACAATCTTCGCAGAAGCAAGGTACTAGTACGTTTTCGCCGCGTAGATCTGATATCAGTAACTGAAATACAGTAGGGAAAACTAATTGAAAACAAACAGCGCGGAACAACACGAACAGAATTTCACTACTACGAACTACTTTTCGAAGAGGCGCCGATACTGGATAAGAAAACACTTAAGCGTTTAATTTCAGAGTACCCATAATATATGAGTTGAAAGTCATAATTCCGTGCTTGAAAGGATTCAAAGCAAACCCCATCCTTCAGCACAACAAAAGCGGAGTATTTACTCTGTAGGTAGCATCGAATAAATACGCAATAAATAAGATATATATCATACAGTAAATCAGAGGCAAATGAGGCGAAGCAAAACAGCACAATACCATACCCAGTATATACATTGAGAGTAGCCAAATGGCGCTAATGGACAGTGATCGGGTGAAGGTTAGTACTGAAGCTGAGACAATGGATTTTCTGAACAATGCGGTTGAAGAAGACATACTGACGTAGGATGATCAGGTAGACGCACTTCGTGACTGGCATCTTACAAGGTCGTGCAGTGGATAGGTCGGCCATTCAGAATCTTCGTGGCCTTTGTCGTACACTCTCAGGATATTGGCGCAGAAGGTCGAACGAAAGAATCACTAACTCAAAGTTGCTGTACATACATATACACATAAAATTCCCACGGGTTCCGCTGAAGAGAGCGTCATGGTCAGATGCGATGTTAAAGACTTGTTCACTTATATTCCCGTTGACTTTTAAATTAAAATAATCGGCGAACATCTATCTAACGGCTAATTCACGTAACCTACGTACAACATACAAATACAACGAAATCTCTCAGTTGATTCCGTCATAAAAGTAAAACGCTTCTGCATTATGGATGCGAATTATTTCTCCTTCGATGACAAGTTCTTCAAACAAACCAAAGGAGCACCCATGATGTACCGATCCCCCCCATCCGAGATTAAATCTACATGAAATATTTTGAAAATGCGGTTCGGGACACGAACCCCTGACCAATTTCCAAGAATTTTCAAACAAATGCTGGTAAAATATTTTCACCACCTATTCTAGTGATGAAAATAAGGTCCTGAACCTCGCTAACATCTTTTTCCGTCAACGAGTTAACCACTGAAAAAATACATTTCTCGCCCACAGGTTTTTGACGTCCTATTACTTAACTCTGTAAATTTTAACCATATAATCATTTAAATGATACAAAATGTGGAGTTACGGCTGCAATAGACAGGCTTTGAAGCTCTGTATTAATGAATTTCTCAAAGAAGAAATAAAACCTACTGAATTTAGATTTTGTTATAGTAATAATTCAGTTAAACTCGTTAATAATTTTATAAATCAAAACTTGAACTAAACCACTTTGTACGAAGCAGTCGTACGCTGGCTCAAAAACCCAAGTCTCTTTAGAAAGCAAAAGCAGCCAGAAGATGAGAGAAAGCTGACTGTACTAGCTGAAGCATCAGGTCATATTTGTTTCGTACATCGACTTCTGAAATTGTCCTCCTCACTCTGAATAGTTTCAGTTTATGATAGCACATTTTGTCTAGACGGCAGTTCTAATGCTTGCTAATTCAAACAATTTCGTTTGATCGACGGACTGATTAATTGTCGTGCACCGGAGGGAGGTAGTTAGCAAAATGCTTCATTGAATCTTCTAGTATGGCGATATATCGCCTGCCAGTTTTACTATCCTTTGCCCGGACTTTCAAACAGACGGAAAATCAGACAATTAACCGTACGATTGAGCGAATGTACGAACAGGCTCCGAAAGTGCACACGTTCATAATTTTCATTTTAATATTCTACTTCCCTTACATTATTATTATTGTTATTATTGATGATATTTCGTACTGTAGCGACCGCCGCTGCTCAGGCTAATACAAGACTGATTGACAAACTTGTAGGAGCAGAATCGCAGGATCGAATCACGGCCAAATGAAATGCAGTTGATTACTGAAAGGGAGACAAAGAAGCATTACACCTCTTTAGAAAGAAAAGGGTGACGAAACTCTGTTCACCGCACAGCTGAACAAATGACCTTCACAATGAATACGTTCCTGGGTGATGGCACCGAAACGGAGGTCATCGACGCAGCAACCATAAAAAATACCACTTATTACATCCCTCGCTAAAGCGCAGTAAAGACCGACGAGACGAACATTTTAACGGATAAAAACTTTTTGTTCCTTTCTTTGATGACAACAGAGTTCTGTTACGCTAGCCTCTAATGCCTTTAACACTCGCCTTGTTAGATTCATCCACTACTGAAGCTGGCTGAAGCAGAAGATTGGTCAGGGTATTGCTCTACAATCTTAGTGCTGAGTGGTGATGACGCAAAGCCGTAAGATACAGGAGATTAGACCGCACGCGCTCATGGTACTGACATTCTATAATGGTGATAGTAACGACTATTGCTCTACCTGTAACTTAACAACCAACCACCCTGTGACCTTCAAGAATGCGTAGAGTAGAAGAGTGCAAGACTGTTTAAGAGCACGTGGCAACTCCTCATCTGACAATTTTGGATCTTGTCCTTCATTCCCATCGGCGATGTATGCCATGCAGGACAACTGCACAGTCCCAAATTCCTGCACTTTCTATTTAGCATGAAAATGGTTCACCTGTTGAAGCTTCCTGAAAGCCCTGAAAACTGCTATTATAGCCTTAGCAAAAAAGCAGGCAAGGTTATCTACTTCTTATAGATCATACACCTGAAGCAGAACCGTTGGCAACGAAGCAAGCCATGCTTTTCCTAACAGTGCTATTGTACCAGATTCTTAATAGATGGCAAATTATTTGAATGAGGACCGACATCATTCAACGACGCAACTCAACAGCCTAAGTCTTATTGAACAATAAACGAAAACGGTAGCAACTGTCGTTACGTCGTTATTAATATTCTTGATGTCTACCCCCTCCCAATATTGGAATTTATACAATTTTTCCGACAATGCTGCCAAAGAAAACCCAAGATGATACAAGTGTGTACAGAATCTTCGTAGGAGTTCCGCTTACACCCTCCGTAGCGATCAACTTCTAGAACCCTTATGAACGGCTAGCCAGTTCTCCGGATTTACACGTCACAGTCGCACTTTCCTCTTGCTTGTACAGTAACCTATGGGTCTGTTTGAACAGGACACAACTCCAAGACACTTTTGCATCGGCGGTGCAAAGATGCAAAACAACGTCATTGTGTAGAGCTGAACAAATCCAGTTGGACACCGACCGTAATGCCACTATCCGTAATCGCACGTATATGTACGCCATGAAAATCTGCAGAATCGACAACAGATTTCTGTTCTTAGCCGCGATATCAAAAACTAGTAATTTGCTAGGAAACCCATCTTACAGGGGTTATTTTTATGTATGATCGGTTTATGCATGCTACTGATTATTTACCATTTACCTATTATACTTGTTCATTTCGTTTCGACTTTTGATTCTGAACATGAAGCATGATTTAATTATATAACAGCAAATTTAATACAATAAAACTAATTATCTTTGAAACGTCTTCGTCCCTTATGTAAACGAAAATTCCTTTATGTGAACAGCCTCTAATAACTGTCCAAGAGGTTTATCTATAACTGTATTTCGAGCTGAATGTCAGTCTTCAATAGATCCGACGAAAGGCTTGAACGTCGATTTGGTCAGTCGAAATATTGTTACGGTATAAATAATTACGAGTCAACATCGTTAACAACTTTGAACGGTTACAATTTCTTTAAAACAGATTAGCGTACATTTTAAACAGAGTAGTTATTCAAATAGTTTATACAATAAATAGAGTGTCGCACCACTCCGTTGCTTCCAGGAGGCCGTTTAAGCAATCCCAACTCTGTAACATTTTAGCCACTTTTTGCT